ACTGAAGCCACCAACCGCTCCTTTTTTCCTTTGTTTATTTTATTCTGGGCCAGCTTTAGCTTGAGTCTTGGCTCCAGCTCTTAGGCCTCCGTTGCTGAAAGTATGTTTCTGGCCTTTGCATACAATGTTGCGATTCTGCTGGCTGAAGTCCGGCAATATTAGTTACAATGTTTCTGAAACTGCTGTCTCAGAGGCCTGCAGCCGTAGGCGGAGAATGTTGGTTTCCTCCGTCTGTGAGGCAAGCAAGCCTCATGTTAGTTTCAAGCTGCCTGGCTGCCGGCCGCCATCTTGGCTGACAGTTAATTTGCATATCTCGCTGATTAGCCAATGAAAAGGGTAGCGGTCGTACGCCAATTACCATGTTTCTCTTTTATTAGTGTAGATGCCATACTATATGTGCTGTTCTGCAACTTGTGTTTTTCAGCTTCCAATATGTTTTGACATATGTTTTTCATGTCTGTATGTATATCGAATTGAACTGTATGAAAATGCTATTTCTATAGATCTAAACAGGAAAGAAATGGCAGTTTCATGTAATCAACCTAATACATATACTTTAACATTTTAATGGCTACATATTATTTCATTGTGTGGTTGTACCATAATTAAAAAAAATTATTTCCTGTTGGACATTTAGGTTGCTCCCATTTGATTTTGCAAATACATCCAGAACTGTAATGAATACATATGCACATATATATCCCATATATTTTGTGTATACATCTTTGCATATAAATATATATCTTTGTGTCTATGCCTATATAAATGCACATATATATTTTTTCACGTGTGTATTCACACACATATACACTTATAAAATCTTTGTGTAACACTGTATCAGTATTTCTTTTTATTTTTTTAAAATTTAAATTCTTTATTGTTTAAAGTATTACATAAGTCTCCCTTTTCCCCCATTGACCTCTCCCCAGCCGCTCCCATCCCCCAGCACATGCCTCACCCCCCTAATGTCTGTGTCAATTGGTTATGCTCATTTGCATGCATACAAGTCCTTTGGTTGATCTTTTACCACCCCCTCCCCTGCCTTCCCTCTTAGGTTGGACAGTCTGTTCGATGCTTCTATGGCTCTGGCTCTATTTTTGTTCATCAGTTTATGTTCATTATATTCCACAAATGAGTGAGATCATGTGATATATGTCTTTCTCCAACTAGCTTATGTCGCTTAGCATAATGCTCTCCAGTCCTAGAAGTGGGATTACTGGGTCAAATGGGGGTCCCATTTTTAATTTTTTGAGGGAACCCAATACTGTTTTTCACAGTGGCTGCACCAGTCTGCATTCCCACCAGCAGTGCATGAGGGTTCCTTTTTCTCCATATCCTCGCCAGCACTTGTCGTTTGTTGATTACTGTGTCAGTATTTCTGTGGAATAGATCAAATAGGTTTCTAGACATGTAACTACAGTGGTCAAGGGGTTTACACATTTTGCTAATTACTTCCAAAGTGTCCTCTAAAATGACTGTAATAATTCACATCCCAAGACTGTCTTTTTGTCCCCACACTCTCAATAATTTGATGGGTGAGTTGGTTTTTGAAGCATTTCCAAACTTGTTATTTTTTTCAGCAAATCTAGAAGAAAGACCTGCCATATGCCCAGCTCTGTGCTAGGCCTGAGGAGTAAATATGTACATAATTAACATGGTCACTACCCTGGAAGTGTGTGTGTTTTAATCAAGACTGGTGCACACACACACACACACACATGCACATAGTGGCAATGATTTCCTTGTCATAATTACCAATCATCTTTAGCAAGATTAATGGAAAATATACCCACTGCCGACATGGTGGGTCCCCTGGGGTCAGACAGAACACATGCAATTCCAGTTACTCCACGGACTCTCTGCACGACCCTGAGTTTCTTTGTCAAATGGAGACAACAGCAGTGGTGCCCTCATAGGGTGGTTATGAAGATTAAATGTGGATGCCAAGCGCAGAGCCACGCCCTGAGCAAGGACTCCACGAGTGTTAGGTATCACCACTCACCTTCATTTCAAGAGAGCTTTCCAGCTTCACGCACCTATTGTTATCCCTCTTAGAACGTGGCATTAAGTGCTGGATCTGAAAAATAACTTCCTACGCGGTGTGTCTAGCCCTGAGGAGCAAGGACTATTGCTTTCCTTGTTCTGTACATGATACTTCTCTTAGTACAACCTGGTGGCTAAGGTTTCTGCTCTAAAGTTATTCTATTCTAAGAACTTTAACCATTGCCTGTATCCTCAAATAGGGGGCTTCCTCATTGCTATTTAACAAACCCTTAATTCTTGATTGAAAAAGAACCATTTCAATTACCACCAGTGTATTTTAGAAGGAAGATGGTAAGGGGCAAACACTGTAGATATTTTGAACCAAAATGGGTACAAAGTTAAGCCATGGAAATGTTTACACATAACAGAAAAATTCCCTGCATCTATTATTAATGACTCATAAAATCCTTTTTTCTTCCAGATATGTAAATGTTGTGTTCACTGTGATAGCATAAGCAGGAGGGTGGAAAAGTGCCCGGTCCATTACGCATGCCCATGAATGTACTGCAGTCCATAAGCATACAGCCCGCTTCTCCAGTATATTTGTTTCATCTGTTCCAGTTAGTGGCCTGTTCAATGCTCAGGTGGCTGCAGCAATTGCTGCTCCACGGAAACTTCCAGAAAAGATCAGAGAAATGTAAATGATTGACAGTCGAACAAGAGGGCATTGTTCCCACTGCAAACTCGTTAGAAGGAGAGACTATGGTCCATGTAAATAGCCTGGGGAAGGAGGCATCTCCATTGGCTGCTGAGGACACCCTGACAACATGGACAGGTCTGGATTGATAAGCAGCGGCAAGGAAATGCTAAAATGCCTCTGAAAGGCAGGGCTGGAACCACTCCAGCTGACTCAGACCCAAGGTTTTCTGTGTTGCGGTTCTATTGGCATAACTATTTGTAGCCCGTAAGTGATTCATAGGCTACCTACAGGGTCTTAACCTAGTTTGGGTCATTGGATTCCTTTGACCATCTGACAAAAGTTCAAGTTCCTTTCTCCAGAAAAATAGCCCTGCACATATATACCTGAGATGTTTGCATATCATCTCTGGGACTTCATCGATGTCCCAGAAGCTCCATGGGCCCTGGATTAAGAAACCCTACCTGGTGCTTGCTTCCCATTTTCTCTCCCAGTCACTCAGCAGACAGGGGTAGTTTCTCCTTCTCAGGATGGATGTGTACGGATGTCCCCTTTCTTCAAGCCCATTTCTTGTTTACAGTCTCCCGGAGCTTCTTGTGCTCTGAGCTCCCAGGGCCCTAGGAGTTGGCAGCACTCAGTTTAGCACCCAATTATACAGGGTGGGGCAAAAGCAGGCTGACAGTTGTGAGTACGTGAAACAGAGTTTATTCTGGTATTATTGTTTATTAATTATTGTATTATTTACCACACAAAGAACTGTCAACCTACTTTTGCCCCACCCTGTGTCTAGGCTATCCTGACCCTATCACTAACACAACATTTATATTTTCATCCATTCAACGTATTTAATGAGTGCCTACCCTGTGCCAGGCTCTATTCCCAGATAATTATTGTAATATAGTAAAATCAAGATCATATGGCACAATTTGTCAACTTCCCCACAGACTGCATCCGCAGAGGGGAAGACCGGATCTCCCACCTTACCACCACTTTTTCTCTTGCCTTATTCCTGTTCACCTGACAAGGTTCAGTTCAAGTGTCCTCTCACCTGGGCTGGGTTAGGATTACCTGGCATCCTGTGCTCACTGTTGGAACTCGTGCTATGTTATTTTGAAACCATCTAATGTCATGTCTGTCTCTCCAACTGTGCTCCCTCCAGGGCATGGTCTTATACCCAGTACAGAGGCTGCAAATAGTAACAGTCAGTAAGTATTTGTGGAATATCTAAGCTTCCTCTCTCCTGCAGTCCTTCAAACATGCTGTTTCCTCTGCCTGAAATATATTCTCCCTCCTTTATTGCTTGCAAATTCCTACCAGCTTAAAAACCTCCTTGGGAAAGTTTTTTATTTTATTCCTGGGTGAAGTTAGGTCTCCTCTCCAAATGACTTTGAACATCCCCTAGCCTAGCATTGCATTTAATTGTAATTCCTTCTTTAATATTTATATTCATTGCTAGAGTATCAGCTTCATTAGGGCAGGGGCCATGGTTCTCTTATGTGCCTTTATGTAACCGAGGGCTAACACTCTGTGTAGTCCCTGACTACTCAAAGAGTGCGGTTCATGGACTGGCAGCATCGGCAATCCTTGGGAGCTTGCTAGACATGCAGACCCTCAGGCCTTACTCCGGACCTTTGGAATAAGAATCCCAGGTGATTTACCTACATATACAGTAAGGTTTGCAAAACAGTGTTCTAATGTAAATGCATTTAATAATTACATGCTGGATGAATAACAAATTATGTGCCGAATGAATAACAAGTATTGGATGGAACAAAATGGAACCAATTCAGCTTTGGTTGCCCCTATTGTCTATCACTGTGGTTGGCAAACTCATTAGTCAGCAGAGCCAAATATCAACAGTACAACGATTGAAATTTCTTTTGAGAGCCAAATTTTTTAAACTTAAACTATAAAGGTAGGTACATTGTTATTAACTTAATTAGGGTACTTCTAATCTGGCCTTTGCTAAAAACGTCCTCAATCCGACTGAGGTTGACTCCTTCCAACTATCCCACCCACATTCGTCTTGTAGCCAGTCTCACTCAACTCATGCATGCGCACCCTACTCTTGCGCGTCCGCACATGGTATTTTGTGGAAGTGCCACACTCAAGGGGCCAAAGAGCCTCATGTGGCTCGAGAGCCCCGGTTTACCGATCCAGACTAGTCTCAACTGGGCTGACTGGGCACTTTAAGCCTCTGCCACGTATCTGTTCCATGCCAGTAGCTACCTCAGGAATGTCCTCATGGAGATGACAGAAACACAAGGAAGAGCAAGGCCTCTCGAGTTGTAGACTTAGAAGCTCCATACTTGCACTTCTGCTTCATTCTATTACCCAAAGCCAGGCACATGGTCAAGTCCAGAGACAGAGGCAGAGGACACTTCAAAGTTAAAGGCCCAAAGTGGTGGATGCAGAGAGGGTAAAAGATCATTCAACCCATCAGCAAGACCTATTAATTCTACCTTAG